TGCTGCTCGCTCGAGTTCAAAGTCAATTGTCATTTTTATGGCAAAGTGCTACGCAGTATGAATTACTTCGACCATACACTCTCGGATATTCGGGGTAGCATTCGCCTGTCGTCAGGTGGAAGTCGGCAGTTCAAGGAGGAAGTTGTGGAAAACTCTCTTGCAGAGTCTTCTGCAGTCGCATACTCTGCGTTCTCCTAGTGACTTTTTACTTTCTTAGCTCATAAAAACGACAATAGTAATGTGTGCGAATTTATTGAGCAAACAATGCAATCGCATTGGATACGAAAACGGTGGATAAATCTTTTTCCTGGCTTTCCTACAAACTGTCACTCTTAATTATAACCCTTTGGATCTCCTTATCTCTCCGAACAGCCTGAAAATTGAATTAAAAACCTTCTTTTCACGTACTTTTATTAAATGACGAAAAGTCTGAGCACAGAACTAGCAGAAAAAGGTGGAAATGCGATGGAACTCAACCCCGAAGCGCAATCCTTTGAAAAAATCATGAGAACTAATCCTTTTAAATGGCTTAAAGCCCGAAAAAATTGGTGGAAAAATATTCCAGAGTAATGAGAAATCTGTGCCTTCATTATTTTGATGGCTGATTCAACCTGACGATTCCGAGGAGCCCTTATCAGCCCATTCCGCCCCTGCAGACGGAGTTTCGATCCGTTTTTTTGGGCAGTTTTCCTCAAGAGTTTTCGGACAACACGTTGTTTTCATTGCTCATTAGCGGCGACAGCGCGAGTTTAATTAGCAGTGACGCAGCGTCTGAGCTTCGCAGGAAACCCTTTGAGAAGGGTTCGCCCAAATTGCTTCCGGCAGTTACCAACCCCCGAATCCTGCCCAGAAATCAAGAACAACACCTAGACTGGAGAAAAATTGAGCAACACTTTGATTCAATGAGCGACCAAAGGTCGAAAGTTGGACTTCAAGTCGGCGATTCCAGAGGGGGAGGACTTCCTCCACTGGGGGTTGCTCCAACTAATTGCCTTTTCGACATGCATTTAATCTCTATTAGATCGGAGTGATAGAAAACTTTTCCAGCATGCCGACCCACATGTGGAGCGGTCTTCATAAATTATTAAGGGGTCCGGGGCTCGATTGTCTGGCCCTCACTTCTGGCATTTAAAACAAATTGTTGTTCGACGCTAGTTCGATTATTCGGCCCCCAGGGGTGGCGGGAAGTCGGAAAAGCGGACGGCACTACAGGAAAAGCTCCCTGCAGTCTGTCCGCCCGAGTGTGTTGATAATGATGGAAGTCATCACGTGTGAGGAGGAGTTTCCCAGCTTTTTTGGGGAAGGTGCGAGCATGCTGCTTACATATCAATAACGTTTTAGGTGAGCCCGAACCCCCGAACTTTTCAATCTCCTGGGCAGCAGCTGTGTCGACTGCTGATGACCTTTTAATTGAAGTTCAAGCATTTTCCGTACTCCCTTTTTTGTTTGAGAAACATTATTTTATCAGATCTGTGCTGCTAATAGCCTCTCCTCGGCATCTGCAGCCATGCACACAAAAATGCAAATAAACGCGACCACTCGGCATTCAATAACTGGCGTTCTTCAGTTGCGAAATCAAATTTTACGACGAGCCACGGGAATCCCTTAATAAACATCCGAAATCTTGAGCGAAGTAGCGAATTCCAGGCCACCCAAGCACCCCCCGGCCAACCGTTAATTAAACCCTTTTCGGATGCTGGAAATCTGTGGGCAAAGTTTTTCCATTAAAGGAAAACTCTGGCAAAGGCGGCCGCAGGCAACGAAATCAAAAAGTAAAAATTTATGAAGCGTTTAATTGAATTAATTAAAAGCAATAATACCTTGAAATAATTGCGCCTAATAGAAAAACTTTGCCACCGATTGCCAGTAGAGGAGATGCAGAGATACAGATACAGATACAGATACAGATACAAAGGCAGTAAGAGATACAGAAACAGACGGTGGAGAAGATCTTGGGCGTCTGTTTCCACTTTTGAGTGACAGAGTTATGCGAAAAATCCCGGACCCACCGCAGCACCAGCCATAAGTCAAAATTATCAACAAGATGGTGCTGGCCAGCACCAGGAGCAGGACCGAATCAGGAGCAGGCCAAAGCCAGGACCTCCAGCCAGTCAACTGTCACGCACGTAGGCCACGCAACATTGCGAAAAATATGTCTTTGATGTCATAAATCAATTACGAGTGGAATTGCCGCCACGTTGGCAGCAAGTTTTGAGCCCTGGCCCGGGATCCACCAGGATTTTCGCCTCCAGAGCCCGCAACTTGTTGGAGGTGACTCCCCTTGTGGCGCTTTTCCCCCTGATCGGAGGTTTAAGTCTGGAGTTTAAAACGTGACTAAATTGAGGGAACGAACAGTTCATCGCCGGCAACGCTGCCGAATTAAGTGGAGCAAATGAAGCGCATGAATTCCGTCAACTCCATTCTCTAAGTACATCTAATAGACTTTGAGTACTTTAAAAATAAAACTAAGGATTTTGAGCTTACACCAGTTTCTCAGTTTATTTTTTTCGGTGTGGTTCACCTTTTATATCAACGCTTCCCTGAGCCTTTTGTTCCGTAATTATGTCGCACACATGGCTTCAGGAGGAGGAGCCGGGGAAGATTCATCACCTCGAGTCCTGTCGAGTGCTAAATGTCAACGTGACATGTGCGAGGATGGCAGGGAATAGGAATGGGATCTGCAGAAGGCCTGTGTTAGTTTATCAAACATAATTAAGAAGTTCTTCCCTGGCTCTGGGAGAATAAACAGAAGTTTAATTATTTTGCAAGTCGCCGAGGCCCGGGGGCAAAAGCGATTGAGCCAGGAGCTCACCTTTTGACTTATGATGTATTGCGTGCTCTATGACGGCTGACAGATGACAGCTCACCTCCTGACAAATAGAACAGAAAGGAAAAGGATTCCTCAACTCTTAAAGCAGTCAAGTTCTTGAGACTTTCTTAAAGGCAGCCCCCACTAATTACTAAAAGTTGGGAAACAAGTTTTCCAGTACATTTGCATAAATCAAACAATTAGTCACGCCGTCTATAAAGAGTAATTCGAATGCCGGCGACCCAACTATTCCCAACCCAAGAACTACTGTCCACTGCCAGGACTCTTCTTATTTTGGTCCTTAATGTCTCCCCGCGGTGTTGTTTGAGCCTCGTCTTACAATGTTCCCTTACAACGGCTGCAAGAAATCCGGGGAAGGTGTCCTGCCGGATTCCTCCTCTAATTTATGCGACATTTGCTAGTTTGCCGTTTTGGCATAATAACTTCTAATTCACCTAACCGACCTTCGACCCTTTTGGGCTGCTCGTGTGGAGTCGAAACGGAAGTATCTACCACTCAGCACTCGGAGCGGCTCTAATTTATGGTTTTGGGCATTGGAATTTATGGACAAAAAGCTGAACAAAAATACAAAATACTCGTATTTGTTTCAAAATATAACGGCAGGCCCAAGGTGACAAACACTGAAAAAGTTCTGGGGATTTAGCTTGTTAGTCGAGAATGAAATACTCTTCTTCCTATAAAAGTCTAATTTCCGAAATGTACTTCTCGCTTAAAAAAACAATTAAATTCTGAGTAAATACATAAGAAAATCAAGTTTCCACTAATGTATTATATTGAACATTGGTTGATTGACATACCTTTATTAACAAGTCTGGAAAACAAAGAACACAATAGCGATTTTAACGACGAAGATTGTTGATATTTAAAAATAACTTTTATCGAACTCCCCAAACTGGCCCAAATAAGTTATATCAATCTCGAACCAATTCGAATGCATGCTAATTAAACTGGATTTTTACCACCTCTGATTAATCACGCAGTTCAGTAACCTTTCCTCACTCGAAGAGTATCGAGAACAAATGCGGAACTTGTCGAATAAATTACATAAGCAGCTCCAGTGACTCTGGCTTCTTGGGTTCTTTGTGGCTCTCTGGAAAGTTCGCTGCACTTAGTATATCCCCACTCCCCCTTTAAAAGTCCCACCTCTCCGTTTTATAAAGTTGTGCAACTTTTGTATGACTCGTTCTAAGGCGGAAAACTCGTTTACAAGCCTCCAAAACGAATCTGTGTTTGTTGGCTGTGCTTTAATTTAGCACATTTTATTAGGAAGTATGAGCGTCACACCTGGTACTCCAAGATGCACTTTGAGAAATGATGCAGACTTTTAAATCGAGTTTAAATATTATTATCATAGCAGTTTTAGTTGGCTGAAACATAATTATTAAGCTACTTTAATAGGCAAACTTAGGCTTTACGATCTTCTGCAGTAACTTCTCCGTTATCTGACCAATTTTTCTCTGTGTTGGGTACTTGCTTCTCGTGATATTCTCGATTCTGGCCGCTTTCGCCCGGCCATCGTATTTGGTAATCAGCGGGCAGAGCAGCAACAACTGCTGCGATGGCCAAGTTCAGTGGCCTCGAAGTGTGTTGAAACTGTTTTGGCCAGCTTTTATGATTGGGATATGATTTGTTCTGGAGTCTCGCCACTCGGTGGGAGAGTAAAACTGGGTTAAGCGTGGTCAGGTAGATCCCGAGATTGCCAAATTTCACAGCTCTATGAGCTGTTAGGCAATCTCCATCCCGTTCCACACTGTTTAGGCCCATCTAGTTTCGGGGAAACGATTGCCACACTAAATACTACAAAGAGTACAAGAAAATGCAATTAACCGGCTAGAAAAATCAAATGTCAATCACGTAGTGAGTCGCTGATGGAAACCTGTTGTTGTCTCCTTAACATTTCAATGACTTTGAACTTTTGTTTGCGCTGGTTTTGTCTGCTGTTGTGCAGCATTTACATATTGATTGTTGGCGTGACCCATTTGTTTGGGCCCTCGAGAGCGGCCCACGCCACTTCCACTTTCGTTGACTTTCTTTGTCCGTCGGCCGATCGCGCTTAATCAAACAAAGCCTCCCCCCAGAAGCCCCCGAGATCCCCGAGCTCTTCTAACCAGTTTGGCGCTTCGTTCTCGCTGGTTCTCGGGGCCTGGCTTTCATAAAAAGTCTTTGGTCAACTTTCTTGGGCTTCATTCGCGCTCGTCGTTACCATGAAAGCGGTTCTCTGCGCGATTTTCGTTGCCTTCCTGGCCACGCTTGGCCACAGTTTGCCTGCCCAGCTGCAGGAGGAGACCCAGGGATCCTTTGCCGGCAAGGTTTCCCAGCTCATCGCCCTGCAGCTCTTGAAATTCAACAAGGACATCGACGCCAACCAGGTGCACTCTCCCCTGGGAGTGGCCTCCATCCTGGCCGTTTTGGCGGAGGCCTCCGAGGGCGACACCTACTCCGAGTTCCAGCAGGTCCTCGGCTACCCCAAGGATCGTGACCAGCTGCGGGATGCCTACAGGAGGATTCTGGGCAGCTACCAGAACAGGGATGCCGCGGTGGCCCTGCCGTCCTTCCAGACCTGGCTGTACATCTACCGCAACAACAGCGCCCGCGCGGAGTTCCAGGACCTGCTCCAGAAGCACTACTTTGTGGATGTGAAGGACATCAGCCGACAGGAGTACGACTGGAACGAGCCCAACACCTCGCTGCAGCTCTCGGAGGAGAAGGAGAGCGGCGTCTCCGCCGAGGGAAGCACCGAGCAGAGCAACAGCAAGGACGTCATTGGGTTCGAGACCCTCAAGAGGATCAATCTGGACGACGAGGACATCCCAGCCATTCCAGCCGACGGCTACGGCCAGGAAATCATCGACAAAGAGGCCTCCAAGTTCGACCGCGACATCGACGACAAGCAGTATGTGGAAAAACCAGTTGCCCAGGCTGAGGCCGAGTTGCTGCAGAAAGAACAGCAGCAGGCCACCACCACGGAATCCGAGGAAGCCACCACCAGTCTCGCTGTGGAAAAACAGGAAAAACCAGACGTGGCAGCCGAGGAAAATCCAGCTGAGAAGCAGCAGAACAAGCGCAGCGACCAGGAGGAGAGCCAGATCAAGAACCTCGAGGAGAACGAGACGGTCCAGGAGGAGGAGAAGCTGGCCAAGATCGTGGCCACTCCCGCGGTGACCGCCAGTGAACCCGAGAAGGTGCGCCTGCCCCTCCAGAAGCTGGAGAACGCAGTCAAGTCGGTGGTCAAGGATGGCGGCGACGAGATAATGCTCGCTTTGGAGTCGCAGCTGGCATCCGTCAGTCGGGTAAGTTAGCAAGAAAATCTAATAAATTATAGGGGGAAAGTAATTAAAAAGTGAACTGTTATAATTTCTCAACTATTTCCTACTTATTCGTCATACAAATTTCTATTCTTAAGTGTAACTGGAACAACATATATCAATTAATTTTATCTTGATTTACTTTTAGGTCTATGGAGCCCGTAGTTTGTTCCGGCAGGACGACATCGCCTCCGCCTTGAGTGCCAACTCCATCACTGGTCGCTCGGCGGGATCCAAGTCCAAGATGCTGCTCTTCAACGGACTCTACTACCGCGGCAGCTGGGCGAACCCCTTCTACCAACTGAGGGACGGCAGTGACGAGTTCTTCTTCATGACCAACGAGGACGCGATGAAGGCCACCATGATGCACGCCCGCGGGAAGTTCCATGTGGCGGACCTGCCGCAGGTCAAGGCTCGAGTGCTGAGCCTTCCCTATGAGACATCTCGGTATGCCTTGTGCATTGTGCTGCCCGACGAAACGGAGGGACTGAGCGACGTGATCTCCCAGCTGCAAGTTAGCGACTTCCTGCTGGCCAAGAAGCAGTTCCAGATGAAGGACCTGCACATTTCCCTGCCCAAGTTCCAGGTGGAGGAGACCTCCCGCTCCGAGGCGATGCTCAAGCAGATGGGCCTGAAGAAGGTCTTCTCGAGGACCGAGGCCCAACTGGGCCTGCTCTCCGAGGATCCCGACGTCCACGTGGACGAGATAGTGCAGTTCGTGAATGTCCGCGTGGACGAGGGAGGCAGCAGTGCCAACTCCCTGTCCGCAGCCACAATGCAGGCCCGTTCGCCCAGCGCAGAGTCCACTGTACTTCCCGTTCCGGAGCCAGAGCCCGAACAGCCGGGAGTGGAGCGCTTCGAGGTGAACCGCCCCTTCGCCTACTTCATCGTGGACTTCCAGGAGTGCTTCGTTCTGGCCTCCGGAAAGATCTACACGCCCGAGTTCAAGGAGGACCTGCCGGGAGTTTCAGTCGAGGTGGAACTCGAGCAGTCTTAGTCTGCCAGCTTAGCCTACCATAAGTTTCGTAACGAATTTTCACCGATCCATGCAATAAACGTGCACAATTCATTTCCCAACGAAGCAGGACTTTCCCAGCGCAATCAAAACAACAATTAATTCGCTTACAGATGAGCGGCAAAGTAGCGAAGTAGCAGCAACCCCCGGGATTCAATTGTCCGTCCGTAATGTGAAATGTATCTGATGCAGGGCATCGCTAATTTCCCGAATTTGTCACTGGGTGAAGAGTGGCGATGTGAAGAGTGGAACGGGTTCGGGCGAATTCTCAGGCCAGTCGAGCATGAAGCGCATCCGCGCCACGTGTCCTGCGAACTCCGCTCCGGAACGAAAGCTGACAGGACTCCTCAAGTGGTCAATGGGCTGCAATTAAAATTCTCATTAGAATGCATGATGTCTTACTATCTGGCTGGCAGTCTGGCCAGGAAGTGCGAGCCCCTTGTTTCCTGCGAAAACCACCGAAAACGCATGCGAAAAGCAAAACACAACACGGAGAAAATGTGTCTGGAGTCTGAAGCCATTCAGGACATGGCGGGGATGGGATATCTGAAGGTCTGGAGCTGGAAAAGGCGCCAGCCTGGCGGGCGCCAAAAAGCAGAGGTAAAAACAGGAGTAAATGCGTGCCATGATTACAGCGATGACGACTTCCACCCCGAAGCAAAGCAGGGAAGCTCAGACGACTCCGAGGGAAGCTGCGGCGGAGACGACGGAGATGATGTTTCATCTTTTCCACATGAAAACTCACGTAACAAAAATTATGATAATCATAACTTTTCGCCCCCACACACCCCCTCCTTTCGAGGGCCCTTGTTTTGTTAGCCGGACAAAGGACCGTGGAAAGGTATTCGACTTGGACCGTGGACCTTGGACCGAGCCACTGAGCCACCGAGCACTGGCGTCTAGTTTTTCTGCCGTCTGGCCATTGCTCTATTTTTATTAAGTCTCTGCATATAAATCAATGTGGCCGATATGCAGAAGAGCAGAAAAAGGTATAAAAGATTTATGACCCTGGTCTAGCGGCTAGCGGGGAACTCGTTTAAATATTGTTTAACATAATTTCGTGCAAAAGTTTCCAGATGGGGCGATCTCTTTCAGCGAAAGCTACACCCACTCGCAGATAAGTAAACAGAGGGGCCATAAATCCATCCATCCACTTGCATCAGCGACAAACGTACGAGATTTATGGCACTGCCCCAAGTCTAATTACAAGTCAAGTTTGTCGAATTGAAAATTGGGGCTGCTGGAAATCGGAAAATAGCGCAACAAGTGTGGGAAATCGCTAAGGCAGCGAAGCCAGCTGTTTTCCCAGAAAACTCAAGCGGGGGAGTGTGGCCCCTCTCAAGACAAAGCTGTTGACATCTCACATGTGAGCAGCAGCTGTTGCAAGTCAAAGAAAAGTCGGGGTATTTGGAGACGAGTGTAGCTAATGCTGCCAAAAATCACAAAGTCAAACGGTCTAACACAAGTCAAACACCGAAAGTTAGAAATCCGCGAAGGCTTCCTCATGGCGCATGGTTTTGGCCTTGGGCCGCGGCTTTTCGGAGACCTTGTCGAAGTTGGAGATGTCCTCCGGGTTGCTGATGTTGGGCACATAGGGCGCATTCACGGTTTGGTTCAGGAGGGGGATCCACTCCACGTCCTTGAACCACTCGTGCTCCTTAATGTCCCGATTGCCGTTAATCAGGTTGCCAAACCTAAGGGAAAAGGGACCTTAATTAAGTTCAGTACCTATCAGATTTCGAACTTTACCGCTTGGACAGGTCCACCTGCAGCAAGTGATCCACCAGATGGCGGAGGGCCCCGCTGAAGTAGCTGGGCATCTTGTAGTCCGCCTCGCAGATCTTGTTGTACATGCTCATCACATCGCGGTTGTGGGCGGAAAAGGGCGAGTGGCCGGCCACAAACTCGAAGATCAGGACTCCGTAGGCCCACCAGTCCACGCTGGTTCCATAGGGCTTCGACTGGATAATCTCGGGGGAAGGTACTCCGGCGTGCCACACAGAGTCATCGTTCGGGTCTCCACTTTCTGAGTGGCAAGAAGAAACGTTAGCATACCTCTTTTAAGTGGAAAGTTCGAATGGGAAACCTTGGCAAATCCGAAATCAGTTATCTTCAGGTACCCGTTCTTGTCCATCATTATGTTCTCGGGCTTGAGATCGCGGTAGAGCAGGCTGCAGTGGTGCAGGTACTCCAGGGCCAGGAACACCTGGGCGGCGTAGAAGCGAGCCTGCTTCTCGGTGAACTTCCGCACCCTGCGGAGATATCAGTTGCTAACATTGGCGAGGAGCCTCCATTGGGAAGACTCACTTTCGGTGGTAGGTGAAGAGCTCCCCGCCGCCGATCAGCGGCAGGACGAGGTACAGGCTGTCGAAGTCCTTGTAGGAGGCGATCAGGTTGACCACGTTCGGGAACATCATGGAGCGCAGCACGTTCTTCTCGCTCATCACGTGGCCCACCTGCTTGGTCTTGATGATCTGGTCCTTGCTGAGCTGCTTGGAGGCGTAGTAGGCCCCCGTCTCCCGCTCCCGCACCAGCTGCACCTTGCCGAAGGAGCCCGAGCCCAGGGTGGCCTTCACTTCGTAGTCATCCAGGCCCGTGTTAGGCGAGGGCGTGTTCGTGGCGAACTTCTTGTTGAACTCCTCGCGCAGCTTGTCCAGGATGAGGATGTAGTCCACCTTGGGACTGAAGTGCATCTGCGGTTGCTCTGGTTGCGGCCCCATTGCCTACACTCTTCGCTATTTGGGCTCTTTAAAATCGCTATTAAAACTTAACTGGAATTTCGAATTTTTCTCTACGAGGGCATTATAAAAAGATCGGTTTGAAAATGAGTTTGGGAGCCAGGGCTACGTTGTATTTATGTAGTATCCCCTATTCCCCATTAGCAAATTCCGAGACTTAGACTTAGGTAAACAAATAGTACTACTATTTCTACGTACAAATTGACATTTAAAAATTCGCAAACAAATCGGGATGCCGATTTATTCGGGACTTCATCTTATCCTTGAACTCGAAGTTCTCGAAGTTGGACAAGTCCTCGGGGCCGGTTACGGTGGGCAGGTAGGGCGCCACGACCTCCTGGTTGAGAATGGCGAACCAGTCGACCCCCTGGAACCACGGGTGACTCTTCACTTCGGTGGCGCCCTCGTTCGAGTTTCCTAAACTGAGAAGGGGTGGCATGAGCACCTCCTGGAAGCCCCAACCCCAAGCACCCCACTCACCGCTTCGAGGTGTCCACCTGCATGAGGCTCTCAACAAGGCCCCTCAGCTGGGCCGTGAAGTAGCTGGGCATCTTGTAGTCGCACACACAGATCTTGGAGTACATCAATATCACGTCGCGGTTGTGGATGGCGAACGGCGAGCGTCCCGCCACGAACTCGTACACCAGGACGCCGAAGGCCCACCAGTCCACCGACTTGTTGTACGGCCTGAGTTGCACGATCTCCGGCGCCAAGTACTCCGGAGTTCCGCACAGGGTGGAGGTGCGACCGTCCACTCGCTGAGTGTTAGCCAAGGCCTTTAAAACAAGATCCACATACAGACTAGCCTACCTTTGCGAAACCGAAGTCCGTGATCTTGATGTAGCCCTTATGGTCGATCAGGATGTTCTCGGGCTTCAGGTCGCGGTACATGAGGTTCATTTTGTGCATGTACTCGAGCCCCAAGACCACCTGCGAGGCATAAAAGCGGGCCTGCTTCTCGTTGAACTTTCGAACCCTTTTGGGAGTCTCATTAGGTCCGGTCTACTGTCGTGTGGAATCAGTGCGATGGACACTCACTTGCGGTGGTAGTTGAACAGCTCCCCGCCGTTGATCAGGGGCAGGATCAGGTAGAGGTAGTCGAAGCACTTCGTCGAGTCCACCAGGTAAATCAGGAACGGGAACCGAGCGGCGTTCAGCACGTGCTTCTCGTTGTGAACGTGGGTCACCTGCTTGAGCCGCACCAAGTCCTCCTTGCTCATCACCTTGGCGGCGTAGTAGTTCTTGCCACCCTTTTCCTTGACCAGCATCTAATGGTGGGTTCAGCTCAAAGTATAGTTTCGAACATTTAAACTAGTGTCTTCCTTGCAGGCCGGTGGAAACTTGAAAAACCGGACATGCATAAGAGTAAAACAATCGGCCCTCTCCGATTTAAAGGATTGAACGCAGCTTGCTTGAGAATTTTGAATGAAGATTCTTCAAGGGTGTCAATACACACATTAAAAGGTATGCCACTTTGGAATCGGACTAAAAAAGGCAAAGTTATGGGCTGTGGGTCTCGTGAATTCGGCCTCGTATTGGCAAAACATCGGAAATATTTAAACGCAGATCGTTTAGGATTTAAATTGGTAAAATTAATGAAGTTGCAGGGTCTGAATAGGGTTCCAAAAATCAAACGTGTTCGATTTGAAAAATTTAAGCGTATAAAGGTTTATACAATTATCACAAACGTTTAAAATATGGGTTGCGGGAAATTGATAGAGTAATGGGTTTTGGCGGTCCAGATTGGATCACCTTTCGGCAATATATCCACCCTATGTTATCCCTAATCTGAGGAGCCTGGGAACTCACCACAGTACCAAAGCTGCCGTTGCCAAGGACAGCGCGCGTTATGTAGTTCTCCAGGTTGGTGTACGGCGACGTTGTCTGGCGGTTCCACCGCTCGTCGAAATCCCGGCTCATGGTGTCCAGGGTGGTGTTGTAGTCTTCCTTGGAGTTGAAGTTGAACTGCGTATTGTGCTGGCTCATAACAGCAGTCCGCTATTCGGCCAGTCGCGCATCTTACGACGCCTTTGCGGATGCCTTCCGTTGCGGAGCTGGACTAGCGAAACGATATTAAATGCCAAATCTATTCGGTGAGGGTCACTTGAATCACTTGGAATTTTGAATTTCATCACTTTTACACTGGGGCAGATAGTAAGTGACAAATGGGTCAAAGCCACAAGGAAAAGTCCAGGTGGAGAAGGACTTCTTTAAGACTGCTCTTCCAGGGAACAAAAGTTATGCGATACTCAAATTAAAACGGAATTCGCAATCTTATTCTGCCTCTGACCCAATATGATGTGGCTTAAAACAAAACACAACTCAACTTCTGGTAAAGGAAAAGCCAAGAGGTTGAAGTCCCAGAAATGGAGCACTTATGCCAGGACCACTTCTTTCAATTAGCCGCTAGAGCCTTTCGCCAAGGTATGACAAATTTACCTCTCCGCTTGCAGGCGACTGAGAAATGGCAGTTTCCTGCGACTGTGACTGAGTCCACACACATGTGCGTCTGGGTCCGACTTCTCGACATGTCCTGATGGCCTCGGCCTGCCCTCTCCCTCGTCTCCTCGCCGCAAAAGTAAGAAAAATTGCAAAACGTCCGCTTGATAAATGATGCTAACCAAGATTACATAAGTTGGTAATTTTCTAGTACATTTATTTCCACATGTCAGGCCAGTCGAGTTTGGAACTCCAGACCGCATCTTCATGTTGATGGACATGTGAGTGGGTTTCCATGAGATGGGACAGTGTAGTAGGCTTAGCGACCGGATGCCAAAATTGTTGCCGGCTTTTAAGGTAACTGTCGACCGAACCGTTTATTGGCCATTTCGGGCCGAGTGGGCCAGTCTGTTGTCATTGTCCCACCTAAATTGACAATTAATCATTATCTCTCGGCCGGGTCGGCATTCAGATTGGCAGATTGGGTCAGCTTGGCTTCGGTTTAGTGTCCTCTCGAGCCATGTGAAAATGGCTTTCTAAATATGCCCCCTGGTCTGGCCTAATGTCCTGGCATTTATCCTCGAGCCGGAGAACTTCATTATTGATTGGCCGACAAAGGGGTTTTGGGGCGACAAATGAAAGTGGCTGTCTGACTCATCTGCTTAGGCCACAAATAATTGAGCTCCGGCTTTTAATTCGCTTAAAACAAAACAAATCGTCACGTACTTTGGAACTTTCACTTGCTCGAGAAACGGGAGTCGTGCAAAAACTAAACAATTTCACTTAGCCAATGTGTATGCTACATATGCCAGTCGAAATCCCGGCTCATTTAACTTAGAGCCCAGCCCAGCCCAGCTTTGGCCGCCAGATAAACTCCAGTTGGCTAAGATATGTTAACGACGGCCATAAATAAGCGGATAATATCTGGAAAGCCTAGTCCTCCGTACATCCGAGCATGTGTGTGCTAAGCGGGCCAAGAGCAGATTAAGGCGACGCACACGTTTCTTGGCCGTTTCTTTCGGCCGCAGTCACACTTAAAATTCATTTGTTGTCTTGAAGGACTCAATCCCCCACTCCCCACGCCGGGCCAACGTTATGCAAAGTAATTGACGCCTCGATGAACTGTTGACACACATGGCATGTGTCTTTGGCGGGCTGGCTAATATTTGGCTTAGTTATCAGAGGCCATTTTTTGGGCTTAAGTAGGTGAATGTCCCGGGACTATGGCCGAATTCAATTATGCTGAAAGGTTTCAGTTTTCCACCCCCCACCACCCCGCTGAACTCCGACCACTGAAAGGCCGGAAAAGCAGCTGCCGGCGGACTGGCCTCAGCCATTAGCGCTAATCTCCGCACAATCGGGAATAAATCAAGGCACGCTCTGCACTCGCTGGCCGGAAAATGCATTCGGTTGTAGGCTTTGGGTTCTCGGCATTCAGCATTCGGCATTCGCCATTCACCATTTGGCATTTGGCATTCAATTCAGCTCACAGTTCAGCGGGCAGCAACAATGTAGCGACTCCCGGACGAGAGTCCCGGCCGGGAAACCTTCCGCCTCACCGTTCGAGCTCAGAAGGTGTAACTAATCCGCTGGCCATGTGACTTTTGTCATGCGCCGATGTCAAATACTACACACGAAAATCGACACCCGACAGCCGATGAACCCTTGCCAATCCGATGGCGAAGGTTTTCCACTCGATTCCACCCTGAAACACGGCCGAACGGCCTTCCACCTTCAATCAACGGACCTCCAACTCCACCCTCATTCCTACTCCCTCCGATTGATTCCGGTGTTCGCTTCGAATTGCCGCTTGTAATCCCTTGATTCGTCAATACACTTTGAAAAACTGCGGCTATAGAATGCAAATAGTTTGCTAACTTCTTGGAAGAGGAAATGATTTTTGATAATGGAAAGCTAGTTATTAAAATCAAATCACAAATAAAATGAGTTTTACTTTTCATAGAATTCGCTTGGTGCTTTAAAGTGGTTTGTTTTTCCAAGTGCATATCCAGAGTAATCAGGACGAAACTGCTCTGCGGGTGGTCCCCGTTGACATTTTGCAGTTGGCTGACTTCGTCCGTATGAGGGATTTTCCACCGCGCGGTGAACTTTTGGCTTGACAATAATTTTCATAATTTCCCATTCCCAGAAGGCGGCTACCTTGCCGGGGGCTCCATAAATCAGCCGCGAACTATTGACACAACCCGTTGGCCATAAATCAGGGGGATCCGCGGACATCAGGTTCACACACACGGCCAGCCATTTGCCTTTTAGCCATATAGCCATATTCTAAACAAATTGGCCCCAAATCGGCCGAGACTATATCGATATTGGAGCGCATCCGTGAATTTTCCGGCGAGCCAAAATGCGCGGACAAATAATGCCGACAAAAGCGCGGAATAAAACAATTGCCACAGTTTTAACATTCTGCCATAAATAAACATGAACCGGCTTTCTGTATTTGGTTATGGGTTCTGGTTCTGGTTGTGATCCTGCGAGCAGGACCTCTTCCGCCGGAGAGTGCAAAATGCTCAACATTTTATTGAAATTCAATTAAAGTCGTATTTCAATAATTGGTCACGCATGGTGCGCATTTCCGTGCCGGTCCGCTCCTAAATGCCGCTCCACAATTTATGACTTTTCAATTCGAATTTTTTTCGCATTCGGGGGCAATTGAAATGCTGCCACTTGGCCAGTATCCTTTGTCCCTTGGTCCTGGGACCCCCGAATGGAAATCGGAAATTGTTGCAAAACTCGCCTGTTCGGGAGGAGTTTGCTGCATTAGGCTGCAAGTTCTTATCAGTTTCTGGGCTCACCCTTGTCACCCGAAAACCGCCTCCCCGTCCCTCCCTTCGATTTTTTCTACCATTTCACCCTCACGTTAAGTGTGCAGCATTTTGCGTGATTTGTGCGAATTTCTCTGTCTCGTTGAGGCCGATAAAATTCGGCGAGGGCGGGGGAAATGGGAAATGCGATACGGGGTGGTTAGTTTGTGCCACTGCCTTTGTTGATGCTGTTTAGTGCCATAAATTCTTTTTTTACTTGTCATATCTGACTTCGGTCTCTCTCCATTTAGGCACAGATCATTAAGTTTTGCACTGCGTCTATCTGATTTAAAGACGGCAACATGTGTAGCCATGGTTCGGGTGCCCATCCCCTGGATTTATCAAAATGTCAATTGCCCCGCAGAATGTCACGGCTCTTTAGATCCAGCTCCACTCGAAGAGGCAGGCATCCTCTAATTAACGAGGCGTTGACGCCGCGTTTCGGCGGATTTCTTAGCAAAAAATCAATTTGATTGAGGCCGACTGTTGCTCAATTCGGCAACTTCGGCGGAGACCAAATTACATCTATCAAAACATCAGCACTGTCAACGGAGAGCAGACAAAGCGTTTGATTTGCATTTATTTCGGGTTTATATGCGAAGATGTCGCAAAGAAATCGGTGCAGACATATGGTACTTATATTTAATCTAAACTAGTCATTAGTTCAGAAGGCTTTACAGCCCATAAATTACTTTTTATATTTAACATTAAAAATAAATGAGCCATATTCGTTGTTACTTTAGTCCGACAATAAAGCATTTTTTTATTTTTATATTTTTTTGTGTGCTTGGCGTCTGCGTGATTACAGCCCCACCCCCGCACTCAATTATCACATATTTTTACCACGCATGAACATCATTAGGGGTGCAGTTGCATTCCTCGATCCACACCAGCCGCAAAGCGCAGTGCAAATAATCAACCTGAGGCATGATCAAAGTGATGTTGACAACGACATCTCCTGGGTGTGTCCCATTCGCCAATCCCTGTGTCCCCAGTATCCCCTTTGCCGACCGACAAAACTGTGGCCATATTCCGCGCATCTTTATGATCGCCTTAGATCTCCGCTGGCTGCCAACATATTTTTGCACGCCAAACATTTTATTTTGACAGGCATGCGATTTGCACGCTTAATTGAGACAGGTGCATTCCAAGGAGGGCCGAAAAGCGGAGGTTCGGCGGAGGGGAGGGGGAGTTTTGGGCAAATCGGAGGAGGAAGTGCGGCCAAGCTGCGACATGTGTTCCCTTATGGTGTCGCACAAACGCGGAGATTTATCATCGTGCCACATGGCACGTGTGTTTTCCGTTTCGTCGCCTCCGCTCCGCTGCGATTTTCACGGGAAAAGCCAGCGACGCTCGCCAAATGCAAAATTAACAACCTAATTAATAGTTGGCCCGGCCAGGACAGGTCCTCATCCCATCCGCAATTCAGATTCAGCGCCGCAGTTCCCTGCTTCCCTGCGAGATTCCACCCACGAAAACCGCTATCTGTTTGAGGCAGCTGCTCCCGAAGTGCTGGCCATTTTTCGCTCAGTGCATCGATGCCGGGGCGCGACCACGCCCACCCAACTTGTTGGCAATTGCAGCTAGCCCGAGTGCTCTTAATGGATTTTATCCGGAGTATGATGTGGCGCAGAGAAGCGGGAATTTTAGGGACCATCGCACATAAAACAACTTAAATGGGCTTAAAAACAAGAAATGCTAACATTTGATTTAATCCTTTTTTAAACAAAACTCATAAAGTACAAGCTATTTAAGTACTTTATCTGCAGTATAAAATGTCAGTCTTATAAAATGGTTTAGTATTGGAAGGAAGATGTGATTAGTTTTTAAAGTATTTTCCTATTTGTGTACATTAAACCCTTAAACCAAAGTTTAGAATTTCTTTTAGGTATCTCTTGGTCGGACTAAATGTCTAAACATTTTCTACATGTCGCTTGGCCGTTTTTTAATTGGACCCATCTCGGATCACGCCAATATTTTCGAGCAGCGGAACCGCAAACTAGGAGTAACTAACGGCCAGCGGGCGGCGCTGTCAAAGTCAGCTGCTCCACATCCCCACCCCCTGTTCCCCCCTGCCTTCAGACTTCCCATCCTGGTGGAAACGTCTAAAACGTTGGAAAATTCAAAATTGACTGCCGGACCCCTGGATGTCCGAGTCGAGTATTGAAGGCGTTTGCGGTGGGACTTCTCTCTTCGGGCCGGACGTTTATTGAACATTTTTACTTGCGGTCGAGGCCCCGGGAAAATGGTATATGGTATGGAATGGCGGGCCAACCGGAAGGGGGTTCCTTTATTAATTTTTGTGTGAGCTCGTCTCGATTTCACGGACAGCCTTAAATGCAAATCGCTGCAAATGGGATTTGTTGAAAAGGAGGTTTACAATCTGAGCGCTGAGAGATGAAAGCTGGGAACTGGGAACTGGTAACTGGGAGCCGGGAGGCAACGAAATTGGCCAAAAAAATGCGTTAAATGCAAATTGGATAAGATGTCGTGTCAGAGGAGAGAACACTTGCATGTGGCTGCCAAGGCGGATATCCTCCGCCTATCGCTGAACATGGCTGAAAGCGAGCCGAGAAATCCGAGAGTGGAAACTTTAAAGTGGATTATATCGCGAGGATGTCCCCCAGAACGCCGGGTGCTATCTCCTGCGCCTTGGAAACATAAATCCGTGAGTTTTTGCGGGCCAAATTTATGGCGCTCGCGACACTCGCGAAAGTTTTGGCGGCGGCGGCGGCATTGTTGTATTTATGACCGCGACATGACCTGCTCACATAAACGGTCGAGTAACGAGTCCTGAATCCCGAGATCCGAAAGTGTTGCCCGCCGTACGTGCGAGTCCTGCCAGGAAATTGGATTTGCCGGAGGATGCGAAGGATGCCGAGGATACGGGCCATCCTTAGCGGGCCAAGATGCGCCTCTTAAATCTGCACGCCTGTCAATTTATATTCTTGATCGAAATTTATGTGCGCTCCCCTAATGAGCAAAATGCAGCGCGACAAGGATAACAAGGATCCCTGGAAAATATCCAGGAATCGCGGAAAACAGGGGCCTGGCACTTTGCCCCAATTTCAATTGAAGTTAATTACGTGGAACATTGTGCTCAGCAGCTCAATCTGGCGATTTACATTGGCCAACCCCAGAGGGAAAAAATGGAAGCCGAATCCATTCAACCGGATGCAGGATGTCTGGATTTCGCTTATGACTGCAGAATCTACACAGGACGTACTTCGAAGTGTGTTTGCCGAATGTCTCCGGGCTGAATGGTCAGTCCAGAACGTAGCCATAATTATTGTTATGTTAATGGTGACCATCGGCAGGGAAACTAAGAGCAGCTTTCGGGGTTGATTGGGTTTCTGGCCATAAAGCCATCAACGAGATTTGGCTATCGACAAATGTTGTTTGTCCATCGCTTTCTGTTTGCCCTGCGACTTTGCATAAAAATAAACGAGTGGCGTCGTGGTTTGGGAAAATATTTATGAAGCCTTTGTCGGAAATCAAAGTTCACTATTCCTTCTTCGGTCTTCGGGCTTACTTTTCCCAGGGAAAACAAAAATATATTTTTGCGTTAATTTAATTTTTGGGTGCCATGCTTTCGATAAAAAAAATGTGTACAAATTTCTCAAGTTTATCATCTGATAATGAGGGCCGTGGCCAATGTCTTTACTTCTCCGGTTAAGTGCCGGAAAGTGTGCCACTGTTTTGTGGCTCACCCATTAAGTTCACTCCCACTTAGCCTGCAGAAAAGGGGCGTGGCACTCGCACTCCTTTTTTACGATTCGCTACAGCGAAAGGGGCGATCTGCATCTGATCCAGGCGTCAGCGGTCCTGATAGGTGTGACACGTCCTGTGATTGATGAAATGTTTGGCCATAAACCCGACCGAAAAGAGGAAGAACCCGAGCAACACGGACCGCCAACTAATTTCCACATTTTTCACATTTACGAAGACAAATTGAGGTGCGAACTTGGGTCGAGGCAATAAAAGTGCCGAGTATCAAAACAACAAAATCTTCGCCATAAAAAAAGAGGTGGAATTTTGGGGGAGGAAGGGTTGTTGGTGGCAGGCATGCGAAATTCCCGAATGCCAATTGTTTCTCGATTCTCGAGGAGAAATCCCTGCGAGCTGAGAAGTCGCATTATGAGCGGGGGAAAAGGGAAAGGGGTCGGAATCGGAATCGGACCACTATAAAAGTCAATATCTGGGACAATAAATTTGCGACTCCTCCGATACAGTTTCACTCTGCTTTTGAGTTAGAGTTCGTGGCGAATCGGTCGCCATTTGAGTTTTCCTATTTCGGTTTAGTTTTCCATTTCATTTCGTTTTATATGCCCGGTTCGCCAAAAGTTGTCAATGGCCATAAACGCTGGCCCGCCAACCACCCACTTTCCTTTGACTTTTCAATGGAACCCAGCAGCAGCCGCAGACTTTCCCCTGGTTTCCCTATTTCCATTAGCATAATGTCTGATTCGACTGAAAGATCTGATGCGGACTTTGATTCCCTGGCTCTCACTTTCGATTTGCCACAATTCTATTTTATTTATTCGCCGGCCAGCGAAATTACATTTTAAAAAGTTTGCTTCTCGTTTGTTTTATTTGTTTCTGCTTGGGAGTACAACAAATTTTTATGGCTAATGTATGCGCATGGGAAATTGTTTTCGGATTCATCCCGAGAGGTGGGGATTTATCCATGAGGTTTGCTTCTTGATTCTGCGCGACCTTGAATGCTGCTGCGTTTATTGTTAATTGTTAATCGAGTGCCAATGCCATGTCAGCGGCGACCTTGGCCAGAAGTAGGGGATCCATTATTCTCGACAAAACTGGTTCAAGAGCACCAATCGAGGGACTCCGAAGGGGAGAAAGAGCTGCGAATTTCGAGGCTCAGCACCAAAATAGATTGGCCACAACATCTGGTTCGTATAAAATCGAAATGGAAATGGAAAACGTTCTTTTTCCTTTATCTCAACTTGTGAAAAAGTTCACGAACGGCGCAGTGATCTTCGGGATCGACGGCTCCGCTGGCCACTTGATACAGTAGAGCCTGCAGTATGAAGGGCAGTCGCTCGCAGCGATTCAGATTGCACCAGGTGGTTTGCCTCTCAGCTCTTGCCGTTCGACCTGTGGCCCAAGGAAAGGTATTGCAGAAGCTCCTGGTGAAACTCACACAGAAATTATCGTAGGGCGTTTCCTTCAAGTCGTCTCCCGTGAAAGCCTTCCATTGAAAACGGAGCTTCATCGCCGGCTCCAGGGATTCCCAGGAAACTGCATGGTTGGACTGGCCAACACACTTTTCGTACAGAGCCCTGGCACGATCCTCCTGCTCTTTCATTTCCTCTTCAGTGGGAGGACATTCATTGAGGAATTCCTCCTCTCCACAGCTCTGATTAGAATTTATTAAGCACTTCCTTTTTGGAAAGAGAGTTCTTACAAAGTTCAACAGGGAATAGGTGTCTGGCTTTTCCTCATTCTGTGAGTCTTCCTCAGGACAGATATCTTCTTTAGAGGAAATAGTTTGGCACCCAAAATCACGCTCTTGGCGGGACTCTTTTTTGCATGCTTTCTGTGAACATTTTTTCTTTACAATAGGCTGTTGTGACTCCTTCAGGGATTCTTTTCGATTGCGACCTGGTTTTTTCTTACCGAAATCTTGTTTGCCAGGAGCGTGTTTCTTATTTTCCGAGCAACAACTATCGAATTCTGGCTCCTCCTCTTCTTCACTTGATTCTCCGACCTCCTCCCCACTACAATCTTGTAGAAGTACATCCACTTTGCTCCTGCTCAAGTCCGAAAAGCGAATCAATCGAGGCTCACATCGCTCCTCGCCATCGTAGGTGACCAGAGGACCCGGATACTCGTGTCTTATTGTATAGCTAGGTCGGCTCACCAAATGCAGCTTTTTAATTTTCCCTGTAATGTTTGCATTTTTCTTCACTCTTTTCAGAGCTATTGATTCATCTGAATCAGAACTGCAACCTCCAAAGCCCAGTACGTCAAAAATCTGCTTCAGCAAACAGTAAAGGTCGGCGCTTAAAAAGTTGCATAACACATCCATGATATGTAAAAATATATAAAATGAGTAAAATATTTTAAAACGGAATACTAATTTATTTTGGATTTACTTTCGGATTTGTAGCAAGAATTTTTGCCCTCTAACCCAGAGCTTGCTATACTGTTTACAATTGCTTTGTGAAATCGTATTAGCATATACAATATTCCTGCGATTGCCTTGCCAAAGGAATCCCAATTTCGTCCTGCCTAATTTAGTGTTCATGAAAATATATAGCCCCGCATTATAAATGCGAAAAATACTCGCTCACATAAAAATCAGACGGGGAAGGGAACGAATATGACAGCGAATTTTGCTATATTAAAAATGCTGCTGTAGCTGCAAAAAAATGGAAAAATATCCGAATAGAATCGAAATAAAAAGAAGAACGAAAAGAAAAACATTTGGATTTCCACATTTATTCGCTTCTCTCCTCGTTTATTTATGATTTCTGCTTATTATCTAGGGCGGGGCTGGGTGGAATCGCAATTGGACGTTCATATTCATTCTTCCGATTAAGCAGTTTTCATGGCCATCGCCGAACGTTCGCGCTCACTCGCCTCGTCGCGAATCATGGCCGAAATAAAATAAAATAAGTGGCCTAAATAAAAAGACATCGGGTTTTCAGGGCAGGAGACGGCTCTCCGCGAGGATTGCCCACCGATCCGAGTCTCGAATAGCTGCAATTATTGAAATTAATTTCATTTATTACATCATGAAAACATTTCCCAGCCAGCGAGCAAAATATTTTCGCCACACGCTGTCTCTTGCAATTAAGGATTGGACATTGACTTGTCTGCCCCGCTCCTCCAGCGCTTTCGTGTGCGTAATTTGAAGTTAATAACGTTGAAATAAATTCTCCATTCGATTCGTATGGCCCCCATTTAGCGGACCAACATTTGCGATTGTCCAGGCCAACAACATAACCAAGCACTGCCAGAAAGGATTAGGTTGCATTGAACGAAAAGTTGGAAACTCAAGTATTCATGAAAGTACAAATATAATCTATACTTTAATTCAAGTTCTGCCCCTCACCTATATAATAATATCTGAACTTAATTTACAAATAAATATTTTTTTCACTGTACAATTATTAGAAGTCAGGAACATTTCGGTGAACCACCTATAAAGTCTGCACTTAATTGCTTTGAATACGAATATTTGTCCGATACGGCATCATATTTTTGGGGAATTTACGAGGAGCGTTTCTGATAGATGGGGAGTGAATACGATTTAGCAATGTTTTCGTATGTGAATATGCGACGTGGAAGCTCTGCAATCTCTGGAGAGGCTGCCCCCTCCCATCTCGGAGATTCTCCATTATCAACCGGGATTCCCCGGCGGAGATGAGCTATTCCCCGCACTTTCCCGCTTTCTCCAATTTACGATGGCTAGGTGAGCTGGAAGCCGTGTTGCCGGCTAATGGCGATGCGTCGGCCACAGCTCCCAGAACAATAAAATTCCCATTTAGAAGTCGCGTGAAGCTTTCGCACTTCCTTTCCCCGGTTGCCCGAAGGCCCAAAAGAAAAACCGCCAGAAAAGTGTGGCAGCAGCAGTTTTCCTCGGGTGTGTGTGTGCTGCGTGTTTACGTGGAAACAATTTTTATGGCATGTCAAAAACCTATTTTAATGCTTTTAATGAAAGCGAATTTTATTGCATTACTTTTCGATTTTACTGCCCCGCACCGCCGAAATCGACAGGGGGCGTAAAAATGCACTCAACTCAAAATGTTGACAAGATCGTAAAAGTTTCGTTCGGCGGGGAAAACAGGGAAAACAGGTGACAAAGCAAAAGCAGAAGCCGCAGCAGCAAAGGAAAAGTTGCCCATAACAAAGGCCACTTAAACTGCCAGTTGCGGTTGAATTTTCCCGAGTTTTCCATTCCGCTGGAAAAACATTTTTGCATAAATTCGAGTTTGCTGGCGACGGCTCCCAAAAGTATGATTCGAATTTTTCGAGCTGGCTGCTACCTTTGCCAAATTCATTTGACCAGAAACTTAAGTTATATTTTGGCGCCCCGCCAATGGTAATAGAAGCAGGGATGGGGCCAAAAAGGAGACATGTTCGGTGGCACGGCAGCAGCGACAAAAGCTTTCAGCCATAAAGGATGCACGATGCAGGATGCAGGATTCGGGGGCAGCGCACAGTGGTCCAGCCCGTAGGCCAAAAATAAAAAAACCAAAGTCCAAATTTTAACTTTAAATTTACCAATTCTTATTTATAATTGGTCTAGCTATTTGAATTAATTCATCTTTTTGTTTTGCACCGTCTGTCCGCTTCAAGAATAGCATCGAAAGAGATAGCATGATATTCATTGTGTACTGCAGCGTAAGCAACGTGCAAGTGAAGCTCTCCGCAAAAAACTTGTTAAACATTTTTAAAACAAGTGTTTGTGCCATGGAAGTGATTTATATTTTAAAGAAAGGTATTAACTTTTTTTTTACAATAAAAAGTATATGTAGTATTTGTTGTGTGTTGTGTAAATCATTGTTGTATTTAGTACATAATTGTGAACGTTCTTAGTTTGTCTTTTCTGTGTTTGGTTAGAGTTTTAGTTGTGATGGCACTCTTTGGCATTCACAAATCTTTTTGTATAATATTCTTAAGCATTTTAAGAATATAAGAAAGTTTAGTTCAAGTGCCGTAAGGTGCCGTGCGGCTTGCAAAATACAAAAAGGTAACCTAGCCTAAAGCAGGCGGAAGCGGAAATTCTAACGATGGCAATACTGCCAGGGCATTTTTTAATAATCCTGATATGTCTGCTATTATAACAGGTGTTGAAGAGAACTTAATAATAAGATGCTCAACAATTTTGCAAGCGATTTCATCAGGCTACAATATAAATTCTGCAAAATTCGGAGAGTGTGCATTAGAAACAGCAAAACTACTTATCATTAAATATCCGTGGTACTACCTTCCTGCATCGGTTCATAAAGTATTATTACATGGTTCTGCCATAATTAAAAATTGTTTTGTCTCAATTTTTCATATAAAAACTGAATATCAGACCGATTGTTCATATGGCAGCTATATGATATTGTTGCCCGATCTGGCTGATTTTTACATATTATTTTAGGATAAATATAAAAAAATTTTCTGCAAAGTTTCAAGTCCCTACCTCAACTAGAAGTATTTTTGGCCGCTCTCCCCATACAAGCCGGACCACTGTGCAGCGGCAGGGGCAGCGGCAGGGACAGAATGGAAACCAACACACGTCGCCTGTCGGAGCACTCAATGTCAGCAGTTTGGAGGGCAAATGCAGTTCCAGTCCGGCGAAACAATGACATGAGTTTTGGACGCACTTCTGCTCCCTGAGCTCCTTGCTCCCCAGCCCCACTGGCAGAGGAACCCCCTGCGACAATCCATATTGCATGCATTAAATATCTCATACATGTGGAGGGGCCCCCAAATGGATTCGGGGTCGCCCATATTGACAGGGTCAGTCATGCATTGTTGGCCGGCCAAAAAGCGGTCGGGATGTCAACTGCAGGCCAGTTCACAACTTTTGGCCCGGCCCACTGATGCGAAGAGTGAGCAAGTGCGCGGTGGTAGCCTAAAACAAAGGAAGCCTCCTGCAACGATTCGGAACACTCAAAAACTAAATTATATATCTGTAATAAGCCTCAAGGATATGATTTCACACTGCTTGAGAACGAGCAGTAATATTTTAGTGTTTTTTCTTAGAAACTCTTTTTATTTCCATATCAATTTAAATGGGATATCTCGGCTTTAATTTCTGTGAGTGCACTGCATTTAGTTCGCGAACTTCCGAGGGTGACTGGGTAGTGGGAACGCAATCGCAGCCAGATATTCGAATCTATGGCCTCTCAGCTGTGTGACGAATCCACTTCCCTTCCCAAGGAAGTGTCATTAGCCGGGATTCGTTCATAAAAAGCAATGGCGAATGGCAGCCGCAAGTGACAAAGTTAGAGTACCGAATTCGTTTCATTGGCCCATAAAAAATAGCAAATGAGCGAAAACAAAATGCAAATGAGTTTCGAGGCCCGCGAAAAAGGTGGAACACTTTTGCAAGTAATTCTCGCCGCCGGAGACCCTTGACATTATAGGTCTCTGCCACCTCCCCTCCCCCCGCTTCCCATCGCATATAATTACAGTTATTTGTGTAGCTAATTAATTGCTAATCAATCATAGGACGAGAGCGGGACCGACCCACAGGCGCACAATAAAAAAGGACGCGCCGTTGTTTGCCTGTCACCCAGACCCAAAGGACATCTCAATCCCGGGACTTCTAAGTATTCCCCCATAATCAACACAGACGACCCAACTTTTGTCCAGAGACAAAAGCCCGGCGAAAACAAAAGCTTAGCGAAAGATTGATCACACCGAGCTGGCGAGCTGCACCTGTTTGCTTACTCACGGTTATTAGCCAGGACACGCAGGATCTGCGCTTTGAGAGGGGATTGGAGGCTGCGGCATGCAAATGGCCAGCGGCAAAGTGCACTGAAAAATCACAGTTGAATTATACAATAAGGTTCTCGAAGAGAAAAATATATCTAGGGTAAATGATGAGTATGCTTCGCTCACTTAAAATAAATTAATTATTAAGGATAAAGAATAAACGAATTCTGTTAAATATTCTAAGCCAACTTGAATGTTGATTTGTATTATTCTGTATCTATTTCTCGTAGTGTATTCTTTAGAGTTTCTGAGCAGAGAAAAGTGTCAATCCTAGCTCGCTTTTTTGCACCTTGCCAGGATTGTCGAGTGCTCGAGCGAATCCTTGGCTCACTCCATCCCCGATGTCCTGCTCTTGTCACTGTCACTCAGAGCTGACGTCAGCCGCCCCCAGCCCCGCCCTTATCCCTTTGGCCTGGCTTTTCCCTTCGCCTTTTTTTGGCGCACATTTTATTTTACATAATTTGAGCATTTAAGACGTGCCTGGGCATAGACAAGCGGCTTTAGTCTTAGTTTATGCAGGCCAGTCGTGGTCCTGCTCCTGTCCATCGAGGAGAGCTGGTTCCACCCGATCCAGCGCAGTTTCCCTCTCATTTTATTATTAAAAGGCATTCGCATCCTTTACGCCCCAATGAGTTTTATGAGCACCTCTCCTGCCCCCGCAGGACACTCTTGGCCTGTCAATCCGGGACG